ATGTTCTTTTGTCTGTCTTTCAGTTATAGAGTCATTGGTTTATTGTTGATTAGCAAGAGGTCTTTACATATTAAAGATATCAAATTTTTATTTTGTATTTTTTTACAAGGTTTTCATTTGCCTTTTCATCTTAGGGTGTATTGTTGTGCCAAAAGTATTTTAATTTTTTTAAATCAATTAGCTAACACATAGTACATCATTAGTTTTTTACTGAGTGTTCAGTGATTCATTAGTTGCATATAACAGCCAGTGCTCATCACATCATGTCCTCCTTAATGTCCATCACCCAGTTACCCCACCCCAAACACACCTCTCTTTCCACAACCTTCAATTTGTTTCCCAGAGTCAAGAGTCTCTCGTGGTTTTTCTCCCTCTCTGATTTCTTCTGATTCCATTTCACTTCCTTCCCCTACAAACATCTCAGCTCCTTCCACAGTTTAGCTATTGTGGACATTGGTGTTATGAACATTGGGATGCAGGTGCCCATTCTTTTCACTACATATATATCTTTGGGGTAAATACCCAGTAGTGCAATTGCTGGGTCCTAGGGTATCTCTATTTTTAACTTCTTGAGGGATATCCATACAGTTTTCTAGAGTGGCTGACCAAGTCACTTGAATTTCCACCAACAGTGTAGGAGGGTTGAATTTCCTCTGCCTTGGTTGAATTTCCACCAACAGTGTAGGAGGGTTCCTTTTTCTCTACATCCTCACCAACATTTGTCATTCCCTGTCTTGTTAATTTTAGCCATTCTAACTGGTGTAAGGAGGTATCACATTGTGATTTTGATTTGTATTTCCCTGATGGCAGGTGATGTGGAGAATTTTTTCACGTGTCTGTTGGCCATTTATATGTCTACTTTGGAGAAGTGTCTATTCATGTCTTTTGTCCATTTCTTGACTGGCTTATTTGTTTTTTGGGTGTTGAGTTTGATAAGTTCTTTATAGATCTTGGATACCAGCCCTTTATCTGATATGTCATTTGCAAATATCTTCTCCCATTCCATAGGTTGCCTTTTAGTTTTGTTGACTGTTTCCTTTGCTGTGCAGAAGCTTTTTATCTTGATGAAGTCCCAATAGTTCATTTTTTGTTTTTGTTTCCCTTTCCTTTGGAGATGTGTCTAGTAAGAAGTTGCTGTGGCTGGTTGAAAAGGTTGCTGCCTATGTGTTCCTCTGATATTTTGATGGATTCCTGTCTCACATTGAGGTCTTTCATCCATTTTGAGTCTATCTTTGTCTATGGTATAAGACAATGGTCCAGTTTCATTCTTCTGCATGTGGTTGTCCAATTTTCCAAGCACCATTTATTGAAGAGATTGACTTATTGCCACTGATATTCTCTCCTGATTTGTTGAAGGTTAGTTGACCAGACAGTTGAGAGTCCATTTATGGGTTCTCTATTCTGTTCCATTGATCTGTGTGTCTATTTTTGCACCAGTACCATGCTGTTTTGATGATCACAGCTTTGTAATATAGCTTGAAATCAGGTATTGTGATGTCCTCAGCTTTGGTTTTCTTTTTCAACATTCCTCTGGCTATTCAGCATCTTTTCTTGTTCCATACAAATTTTAGGAATGTTTGTTCCAGCTCTGTGAAAAATGTTGATGGTATTTTGATAGGGATTGCATTGAATGTGCAGATTGTTCTGGACAGCATAGACATTTTAACAATGTTTCTTCTTCCAATCCATGAGCATGGAATGGTTTCCCATCTCTGTGTCTTCCTCAATTTCTTTCATAAGTGTTTTGTAGTTCTTAGAGTACAGATCCTATACCTCTTTGGTTAGGTTTATTCCTAGGTATCTTATGGGTTTTGGTGCAATTGTAAATGGGATTGACTCCTTAAATTCTCTTTCTTCATTTACATTGTTAGTATATAGAAATGCAACTGATTTCTGTGCATTGATTTTGTACCCTGCCACATTGCTGAATTGCTGTATGAGTTCTAGCAATTTTGGGGTGGAGTATTTTGGATTTTTCACATAAAGTATCACGTCATCTGTGAAGAGTGAGAATTTGACTTCTGCCTTGCAAATCTGAATGCTTTTTATTTCTTTTTGTTATCTGATCACTGAGGCTAGCACTTGTAGTACCATGCTGAATAACAGTGGTGAGAGTGGGCATCTCTGGCATGTTCCTGACCTAAAGGGAACAGATCAAATCTTCTGTTTGGTGTCATACATAAAATGTCCTCACCAACCCAGCTATATGCAAATAATCACCCATGTTTTCTTCTAGAATCTTGCTTTTGTTGGTCACATTTAATTTTTTAACATAGAAAAATTTTATTTTGGTATTTGAAGCAAAATAGGGACCTAACTGTATTTATTTTAATGATTAACAACTTGTCAAAAACCGCTTATTAAGTAATACATCCTACTCATCACATGTACTATATGTTCAATTTGCCTGTATCTAATATCTCTCACATACACATATCTGCAAACATATCTAAGTATTAAATGTATGTACAAATATACATATACTTCCTATTTTATGCAAATGATCTATCTCTTCTGGCAATCACCATCATTTTAATGAATTATTTTACTTTAAAAATACCTTCTGATCTGTTAACAAAACTGACCCAACATATCACTCTTATTTTTCCTTTTTTTTTTTTTTTCTTGCCTAAGCCATTTAAAAATGATTTCTTCAGGTACCTGGGTGGTTCAGTTGGTTGAGCATTCAACTCTTGATTTCAGCTCAGGTCATGATCTCAGGGTTGTGAGATTGAGCCCCAAGTCTGGCTCTAAGTTCAGCAGAGAGTCTGTTTAATATTCTCTCTCTCTCCCTCTGCTCTCCCCTAGCTCGTGCATGCTTTCTTGCTCTCTCTCTCTCTCTCTCTAAAACTCTCTCTTTAAAAAAATTATTTTCTTCTCTTTCTGTCTTTTTGTTTTTATTTAAATTCCAGTTCATTAACATACAGTGTAATATTAGTTTCAGGTGTACAATTTAGTGATTCAACACTTAACACACTCAGTGCTCATTACAGCAAGTGCCCTCCTTAAATCCTCACTTATTTACCCCATTTTCTCACCTAACTCCCCTCTGGTAACCATCAGTTTGTTCCCCATAGTTAAGAATTTTTCTCATGGTTTTCCTTGTTCTTTTTTTCCCCCGATGATCATTTGTTGTGTTTCTTAAATTCCACATATGAGTGAAATCACATGGTATTTGTCTTTCTCTGATTGACTTATTTTGGTTAGCATTATATTCTCTAGCTTCATCCATGTCAATGCAAATGGCAAGAGTCCATTCTTTATTATGGCTGAGTAATATTCCTTATACATATATATATATATACACCACATCTTCTTTACCCATTCATCAGTTGGTGGACATTTGGGCTCTTTCTATAATATGGCTATTGTAGATAATACTGCTTTAAGCATTGGGGTGCATGTATCCCTTCACATCAGCATTTTTGTATCTTTTGGGTAAATTTCTAATAGTGCAATTGCTGCATCATAAAGTGGTTGTATTTTTAACTTTTTGAGGAACCTCCATACTGTTAAAAATGAATTTTCTTAGTTTATGTTTTCATTTTAGTGTTTTTTGTTTTTGTTTTTGTTTTTATCCACAGGTCCTGTCTTTTAAATAGATATCATATTCTATTATCAAGCATTCTTGAAACAGGTATCTAGTCTTTTTCATGGAAATGCCTAGCAGTTAGGGTTGAGAAGTCAAAATGCCCTTGGGACCAGCATAGCAACAAGCATGGTCAACATTAGTGGTGACGCTGTGTGCTGAGAACTCCACAGTTAGGCAGAGCAAGGAGCAGGAAGTGAGGCAATGTGAGTGCTCCACTGTGAATTCATGGCCACACCTCAGTTTATTGCTGGTAAGCGCATGTGACAACTATTCACATACATTACTATCTTTATACTATCCAGGATATGCCAAATAAAGTAACAAGTCCAAAGGCGGTCTGTTTTAGAAAATTAATTAGAAGAGAGGGTAAAATCCAGTCTTGCTTATCCACAAGATATAAACTTGGAGCTTCTTCTGAGACTTGGTATAGTTTAGGAAGAAACAAGCTAGTGTTTGGGATATTTTGATCAGTTGACTTGCTCTAACCACTTTTTTAATGAGTTCTCCTCAGCATAGTGCAGCAGTGAAATGTGGAGGGTCAGGGTGGGGGAGTTTTCCTCGCTATTTGCTATTAGAGCATCCTATGAAAACGTCCCTAAGCGGAAATGGTGTAAAGTGAAGGAGCAATTATTAATTTATATGGAGAAATTTTTGAGCATTCCCAGCCCACTCCTCCCAAAATAAACTTTCCTGAGCTTTTCTCATACCTTAGGATACATCGTGCTAATGGAAGCATAAGATCAACTGTATCCCAGGATACAGTTCAAGCCTGCTGTGGCTCTGCGGGATGTCGCCCAGGGCGGATCCATAGTAGGAGCTGGGCGGGGCCAGTCTGGCTGCTCAGGGGTGTGCACTGTCCCTGCAACAGCTGGGGCAATGAAAACACCCAATGCTAGTTTCCAAAAGCAGGAGATTCTTGTGTAACTAATTTTTCTTTATTCTTCATCGAATTCCACCAATAAAAGCCAGGAATGAGCAGTGAATGGTCACATTGTTGCTTAATTCTATTAGACATAGCCTGAAAAACCTCCCTGGACATCCCTAAGAAGTCTTTTTGCTTACTCGAGAGCAGAGCAGGACCTATTTAATACGGTTTGGCACTGATCTCCAGAAGGTGGTCTTTGCTCTTCTGGCTTTCAAGTTGGAGAGAAGGAAGAAAAGTTGATTCCTTGTGCATTTTGCTCTAAACTTTAACCCTCGGGCGATTAAAGCCTCTTTATCCAAAGTGAGTCTCTGGTTAATAAGGCTCTTTTTATAACCACTCCGAAACACACTTTCAAAACAAAAGTTAGAAAGCTGTATGATCCATTCTCAAGAAAGATCTGTTTCTGTTCAGAACCCGCCCTGACCTTTTTGTTGAAGAAGAACAAAATAATGGAGTAACAAAAACACACGTGGCTGCCAAAGGAAGAGAAAAAAAAGTTCCTGTAAGGCACTGAAACAATAAATCTCCTCTCTGCTGAACTCCCAAAGGGAGTGTGTGTATTTCCTCCCGTTCTTTATCAGAGCCCCCGAAATAAGTGGGAATGGGCAGTGGCTGCTCACACTCCGCGCACCTTTTCCATTTGCTAATAAGGCCCGGCCAGGCTGGAAGGGAGTTGTCCCTGTCTCACTCTGGAGAAAAGCGCCACTGAGACGATCCACAAGACGATCCTCGAGCACCATGAAACTCATTCAAGTGACCATCCTTTGTCTTCTTCTGCCCAGTCTCTGTAGCAGTAACAACACCACAGGTACCGTTTTCTCTTATTCCTCTGACAGGGTGGGTCAGAAATTACTGGGAGGGGACTCAGCCTCAGTTTACCTTCAGGGACCTTCCCCTGAAACTTGGATGCAGCAATTCCTTTGCTGTGTCGGGTGCGTGGGTATTGATTGACCTGGAGTGCGAGGAGAAGGCTCCACGGAGAGGATGTTTGTTTGCACGGGAAGGAAATGCTTGCTGGTGCAGTGGCCTTGCTGTGTATTTATTTGATGGCACCATAAAGGTACTGAAGAATGCATGACAGCATTTTTGAAGAATAAAAATCTGGGGGTAAAATGCTGTTTACAAATGTACTGTTTCTCAAAAATGTTCCTCTCAGGCGTTAAGCCTAGAAATAACAAGATTGTCAAGTATGGGTGAAAGGCTGTAATCAGAAATACTGCATTGCAGATGTTGGCCTATATTTGTCCCAACTATCTTTTGGTTCTGATAAATGGAGAGGCTGGATCAAGCTGCCTGGGGAAGTGAATATTAATATCTAGAGGGGGCAGGACGGGTTAAGAGGAGAGTCATTTGATTAAAGTTAATAACATTTGCTCTGGAAATAAGTGCGTACCTACACATATGCACACAACATTTTGCACAACATTTCAGAAATTTGTAGATGGACCACAATTTCAGAAATTTGGTAATAAAGGATATATATGAACCACTATAAGCTCTGACTATATTAATGACCAGTTGCAAGAAATTATTACATATGGCTGTAGCCCTTTCTGAGAGATTCTCTGTAAGCAATTAAATTTGATGAATATTTATTAGGATCCTAGTACTTACCAGTGCAAAGAATACATAAATGATTAAGATTACCAACGATGTCCTTACCAATGATTGTCCTTACCAACAGTGGTAAATGTACTGTTGGGAGAAAACAAATATGTAATTCTAACACAAGACAGATTTGGCAAGTGTGAAAACCAAAGTACCAACTATCATAAAAGAACACAGTTGGGAAATATTGATTCTGGGGGGCCCTGGAAAACAATCAGTTCAATTTCATTTTGCGTGTGTTTTTTTTCAAAAGTTTGCTTCCTACAAAAATTCTAATTTAGAATAATAGTGTAGGAAAAATTAGACACAGTCTTTCAACAATCTTTGTCATTAATTTCCCAAAATACATGTACAAATTTAGGATACATTCCCAAACATTTCAAAATCATACATGATTGCTTATCACACATCTTGGCATTTCCAGAGTTAAGTTGCCACAGGTCTAAAGACCAGAAATTCTAACTTAGAAGAGTTACCAAGCATCTGATTTTTTAAAATAAAGAGTATGAAGGGCCACAGAAATCAGTGCACAAGCGTGTAAATAACTCTTCAGTATGCAAGGGAAATCCTGATGCCATGAAAAACTCTGCTCACAAACAGATGTCAAGTCAATATAAATTTGAAAGTCTGGGTTAGGCTGCTTACCACTGCAGCTCTTCTACCTCACTGGTAATGAGCCCAGCCTGTTAATAGTGTCTTCTTTCTATGGAACAGTTGGCCCAAGTAGGATAATTTCTCTTTTGAGCAGAGATAATAATTATATCATGACTATCTCCTTAACCTCTGCCAACAACCCTATTTGTTCACTTAAAGAACATGTCTGCAAAAACTCTCTATTTGTCTTAGAAAAAGGAAGTTCTAGCACAAGAGCATAAACTGACCATCTGAGTGGTGCTTGGAAGGAGCTGGAAGAGATTTTCCATCCAGGTGTATGACTTTGTCACACCTGGCTCTGCCGGTTTTATGTTTCCCTTCCCAGACAGGGCACAGGAAATGAAGCATTTCCTAAGCTGATTTATTAAGTTCTTTCCCTAACCCCCTATACCGGAAACACATTGATTTTAAAACTTTGTACCTTGCCCAAACTCAGAATGCTTACCATATATCCTCAGCAGGTTTGATTATTAGGGATGAGGAGGGAAGCAATTCCTTGGCCTTAAATTCACAAGCTGTCAAGAATATCCATGCTTCTTTGCATAGTAATTTATTCTTAAATAATAATATTTTAGAGAAATTGACTACTTTTCTTTTTCCTTCTGGCATTTTTGTCAGTCTCAGATTTAAATACATACAATGTAGTCTTCTGTGCTCTTTATGAAAATCAAGTGAATCTTTTTACACACCAGCCAGTGACCTTCTATTACTTGGTTGCTGGTATAATATTTTACCATCTCCAATTTGGAAAGCTCTTCTGTTGAAATATGCAGGGAAGGTTCCTGAAAAAGAATTGTCATTCTTTCTCAAGGTTTTCTGAATTGTATTTAAAACTGAACAACCCCTCCTCCTGTGGCTTTTAAACCCCTCTGGCTTATAAATCTAGATGGAAGAGCCTTTGACTGTCAGGACCAAGAGAAGTTAAATGAATAGGGATTCCAAGAGAAAGGAGGTCCAGGAAACAATGTACTCTCCCAGCACCATTTGCTTTTTGAACTTTACACTAATTTAGGAAAGATTAAAATGTATTAGGCATTTGCGAACAGGAACAAACATCATTTTATTGATATCTGAAGAATCATTGCTTGGAGAAATTCATTTGTTAGGGATTGAACATCAGTTTTATGGGAAAAAAATGGATCGTAAAGATTGTGAGACAGACATTATGCTAAATGCTATAGATTTATAGAGATCAGTAAGACTCGGCCATGACCCTTGAAATGGGGGAGAGAGGAGGAGTCAAGTAATTATAAGTTTGATTATATTGTAAGTCTTAAGTGGTAAATAAAGAATGGTCCAGAGCTTAGTTTTCAGTGTGGAATATCAGTAAAGGCTTCATATAAAAGTTGAAATTGTGATAAACTTTGATTTTGAAAAACAGATTTTAAATCAATGAAATTTCTTGAGTAGGAACATGAAAACCTGAGGATATTCTAAAGTACACATGTAAGAAGGTCAAAGATTGGACATAGGTTAAGTTTTGGAAAATAAGGTTGGAAATAGAACCTCAAAATATATGCTGACTACCAGGATGAGAGCTATTGACTAGTTAATAGTCAATAGTTAAAATTGAATAGTTATTTAGTTTAGAGCCTCTAAATACGTTTGAATGTGAGAGTTACATGATCGGGAATATAAATTGGGAAGATTAATCTGTCAACAGAATATAAATTAGACTATTGTAGTCAAGAGAGACAAAAGATAAAGAAAATAGAGCACATGTTATTCTAAGTTTGAAAGCCTATCAATAAAATAAAAAGAAGGATCTGGGGAAGCACTAAAGGAAGTAGATAGTTGGTGATTTGACATATTCTTGACCAATGAGGGAGAAAGTGACTGTGATGTACAGAAAGGATTATCTGAATACTAGGAGTAGGGAAACGGTTTGGGAAGAGAGGGAGGGAAAGAGAGATAGAGACTGTTTAAGGAGAAAATTCATGTATTTGACTTTGGACATGCTGAGTTTGAAATCCTAGTAAGATATTTAAATAGAGATGAACAGGGTAAATTAAAATCCATGGGTAGTTGGAATGCCCCTGTAGCTGGATGAGGGGGTGAGTGTTCTTTACTCTTGAATCCCAGGAGTTCTTAGTCCTGCTTTTTGTAGAATTAATAACATAGAAAGACAATTTATTTCTCACCTAGATATTCATATTTCTAGCTCTCTTATGGCACTTGTTTTTTAATTCTGTCATAATTATGTGTAGGCATATCTTATTTCCTCTATCAGACTACAAGCACCTTGAAAGTAGGGACCATATATATTACCATATGTAGTTTGTCCAATAATAGTTATTTTTTTAAAAGATTTTATTTATTTATTTGACAGAGAGAGAGAACATAAGCAGGGGGAGAGGCAAGCAGTGGAGAAAGGGGAAGCAGGCTCACTGCTGAACAGAGACCCGGATGTGGGACTTGATCCCAGGACCCTGGGACAATGACCTGAGCCAAAGGCAGATGTTTAACCAACTGAGCCACCCAGGCACCCTTGTGCAGTAACAGTTTTAAACATATAATAAGGGCATAGCTGAATGAACACTTAGATGAATGATACAATTGCTTTCATTTTCTTTCATTTTTAATTTCTTGCAATGACAATCACTTACCAGTTTACTGCCTTGTCCTTGTGAAAAGATTATGGACACATATGACACATAGCATAGAACACGGATACAAGTTGTGGATCACTTTGATCCCTGGCTATGAAAATGGGCACCAAATACAAAGAAAGGGGCTTCTTATCAAAGGTAAGCCAATTCCCAAAGTCTAGCCAGAGGAGAAGGTGATAGGTATAGATGGAAAATCTAGTACCAGGTGACAGTAATCGACAAAAAATCTGGAGATGGAAACTGCTCTGACTATGATTTTTGGGGGGAAGAATATCTAAAAAGAACAGGCTCTACCTTTCCTTTTGGGGTATAAAATAATTTACATAATATCTTCTTATAGTTAGAAATATCAAGGAGAAAATATATGCTCAACTAACTTCTTAAAAATACAAAATGGCTTTTTTAAAAAACGAAGTTCACAAAAAAGGAAGTTTAAGAAAGTTAAATAAATACCACACATCCTTAACTGATGTGTTATTTTAGATCGCATATGAGTTGCTCTAGAGCAGATCATTTTACTTATTACTTCTGTTTAGCTTCATCACTATCAGAAAATCTTACCTAAAATAAGTGATCTGTTGTGGGAAGAATGAACCAATATGCAAACAAATCCAATGGGTAAGTGTTTAGTCCCCAAACCATTCGTTTAACATTAATTTTTTTTCACGACTCATTTTTTTTAATAGTCTTTGCTTAAAAGTAGATGTAATCTCACTCTAGAATTCCTGTTTTCAAAAGATTCATAACAGTTGTCACCAGTAAGTTCTCTGGCGATTTTATCTTGCTAATTTTAATTATTCAGGTAACTCAGGGGAAAAAAATGATGCACATTTGAGGGTTTCAGAAAGCTTTTATTTTACTGGATCATTGCCCATCCTCTTGTTTTCATTGATAAAGGTACATTTTAAGCTCTTAACTTTAACAAATTTTAACAATT